AGCAGGGAAAATCGCCATCAAGTCAATGACAGTCGTTTCGAGGCATACCGAAAAAACAGGACTTACGTAAACATCAGTCCAGAACGCTTTGAGATCAGGGAAAGAGTCCTTCTTGGCTTGCGCGACCGCTTCATCGACTTCCGCCTTGGCCGCCTTGTCAATGGCCTTGAGCTTGGCGTCGTCGGCAATTCCCCATTCAGACAGGTAGGTCTTGATACCAGTGATGGCATCTCGGGTAGATCGCATCTGCTGAATTTCCTCTCGGGTTCGGTACGTAGTTCCGGGATCAGACATGCTACAGAATCCGAGAGCACATTGAGCGGGCGGCGAACGAACGATTTATCGCGAGTAACTTACGAGTGACCACCGTATCGGTATGTAACGAATTCCATCAACAAGGGTCCCTTTCCACTGGTAGCCCATTCCTTTGCCCACTGACAAGCCTTGTGAACAGCCAAAACATCCATACCGTTGACCTAGCGCAGCTTAAGAGTGTTAAAGTAGAGGTCTCTTTCGATAAAGAGCCTTCATGCTTACCTGGATACCAGGGATTTGGTCACCTCGAGTGAAGAAAAGAGTGTTTTGCGATGATCGTTCAGCTGAAGTACCCATACCGTACTTGTTGTTTTCACAAACGAAAACGACCGGCAAGTTCCAAAGTTTGGCCTAGCGAAAGATAGAAGGCTTAGTTGTCACCTCTGAATGGAATTGCCAGCTACGCGGGACTCACCATGTTGTAAGCTTCGAACACCTGACCTTGGTTGGAAGCACCATCACCGTACATCGAGAAAGTGACCGTCTTCTTGTCCTGGTACTTCTGAGAGAAGGCGATACCCGCACCGACCGGCACCTGCGCTCCGACGATACCGTTACCACCGAAGAAGCACTTGGTGAACATGTGCATAGATCCACCCTTTCCTTTTGCGATACCAGTCTCCTTGCCTATCAGATGGTTACCCATTAGTAATCATACCGGTACGCGTCCACGGTCCAGGTCGCACACGTACCTAGCAATTCGGCGAGAACGTTGTGAATCGTACCACCTCGCAATACGGCGAAGGGATGACATCGGTAGGCAGTGATGACGTTGTCCTCGTGAGTGATAGCAGATTCCATACCGACAGACACAGCTTCCTGTAAAGCAGATGACCTCATTCAGCAAGGCTAAATCGGGGCGATGGAAGAAGTAAAGACGGTTATCTTACCTGACCGATGGCCAAATGACAGAAACCTCGGATGAGCTTGGCCTTGTACAAGGCGTCTGCTGCCTGCTCCATTCGCCTCATTCGGACCTATTGGGAAAGCCCATCCATGAGTTAATGAACCATGATCTGATTCCCGAGATTGAGGAAGTGCAACGTACCATCTGCGTGTACAAGTCGACCATTTGATCCTTGGTGACCGATACATCCAATGAAGGTGGGTCGCATCGGTAACCGTGGAAGGACTCTGCATGGAGTTTGACCGTGAACTAGGAGGAAAATTTCAGCAAGCAAATGGAGCCATCGGCAGTTGTCGAACATACAGGTTCAGAAGAGCTCTCAGGAAGCTGTCCGTGAGGCTCTGAAGCTGCAGCAGAGGTTTCCAAGAATCGAGACTGCGAGAATCGTCCTGCCGGCTACGAAGACATTGATGTAAGGCTTTAGTGACATGATGGTTGTGGCGATCGTCAAGAATGAACAATTTACCACTGCCAAACGCTTGGAGGCGACACGGAACCCGGTGGGCTTCAAAAGGGCGGAGAAGGACATGGCTTGACGTGTACCGGAACAGCAAGCCCTTTGTAACAGCAAACACAGCAACGGTTGAACTCTGCTCACGAACGGACACCCAAGATGCACCCTTTTCGGTCAACTTTGTGCAGCGGTGGAAAGCTTGCGACACGAAACCTCACAGAAACACGCTGTCGCGCGGTATGTTTGGGGCGACGGCGTGCCGATGTTTATTTTCCGCGGTGTCGCTTAGGGGGTTAGTTGCGACGCATGTTAAACCGTCCAAACCGTCACCCATGGCAAAATTTCTGAGCTCTTCATGTTTGACTGCTACGTTCTCTGATGATTCTCTACAACTCAGAGATCCCGCAGGGAGGTACTAGGCATGGAACCCGCTCAGGATGATCCATTTTCAAGCAACGGAAAGCTTGTGTAGATTCTGCTTCCACAGCAGAATATGCGGACTGCCCGCCTATGTATTGTGCATTCGTTCAACGAATGACATTGTGCAGGTAGCCACCTACTTCTCCCATTGAATAGACATAAAATGCAGCTGTTCAGACGCTCCGTGATGCGAGATGCCATCGAAGTCGATCTACTTTATCTATTGATTCTATGCACAATGCAATCCTAAAAACCTCAAACTTTTTTGGTGTTGTCGCTTTCGCGAAACTCTTCAGACTCTAGGCCTTAAACGACAGGCCTATGGATGACTACTATAAGCAATGGAAACGATTTCCCAGAAGCAAATGGGCTTACTCGAGCTTTCGAGACCTAGGAGCGTGCAAGCTCGTGTGGCTGGGAACTCCTTCAATCTGTTTGACAGACAAGGCCAACGTTAGTACCTTGATTCGCAACGTGCGGAAAACATGCTAGTATCTTACTCGGTGGAAGCCGTTGAGGTTCTTGTGCATCGTGATTTGGAACACGGAAGCGGATCCTTGCCTGTGAGGACGTTCATGCATAACTCGATCAGTCACGGGATGTTTTTCAGAGATTGCCTGCAAGTTAGTTTAGTTACCTCGAGATGCTGGTTTCGAGAAAATAAATTAGCACAAATGCCAGCTGAAGGCGTCTCCTAGACTCACATGACAGAGTAGGCCAAAAAGTAAACCCAGATTCGGTACCATCTATTTAATGCAATGGCTGAGCTCCGCTGAACTGTCACCTGTATAGAGGCCAAAAGTGTTTACCTTTCACCGTATTTGGCGATCACCTTGTCCTTGTTGGAAACCCAGTTTTTGTACCATCGGTCGATAGTAGCAGAGTAGTGAACTCCCAAGACGTCAATTGACTTGATTTCGAAGTTGGCATGTTCGAGCTGCAATTGAATAATTCTTGAGCGAGAGATCTGTTGCTATGTCTGGCATAAGCGACTCACCTGGCTGACAACCCAGTTCAAAGCACAGGATGCATCAGCACCGGGGAAGATGTACTTGTTCATGCTTGAATTCGGTAATGTAATCAGCCAATGAGTTTCACTTCAGCTCTGCAATGTGAATGTGCTCACAAGAGACCCCAGTTCAAATCTTCGAATTGCCAGCAAGTTCGGATGCCTGCTACTTGCATAACAAAGACTCCGTCATCATCCAACAGGTCGTACACTTGCTTCAAGAAGGCGCTGTATCGTCGGATACCGACGTGCTGCAAGCGAGGAAAGAGGGTAAGCAGGAACCGTGATTCCATCTACGAGAGTCGCTTACTTCAGCCATTTCAAGGGAGACGATCTTGTTGAAAGTTCCCTTTGCGTGGGGAACATCTCGGAAATCCATGCAAAGAATTCGACCTTGCGTTTCAGGTACACCGTTATCCCGCAACCGCTTGTTACCGAATGCAGTCTGGTTCTTTCCGAGAGTGACTACCGAGGTCGACGTTAGAGCTGAGTGGGTACCTTTTCAAGCGAAAGGACTTACCTCCAGTGACATCACAACCATAGTTTTTACCAGCAAAAGCGGCAAGTGTTCCCCAGCCGCAACCAATGTCCAAAAGCTTGTCCGTGGGCTTCAAATCGAGCTTTTCACAAACAAGCGCGAGCTTGTTGTCTTGCAATTGTTCGAGCGACTCTTCGACGTTGATGTCACTGATAACACCGGAAGTGTAAATCATTCGAGGTCCCAAAAACCACTCGTAGAAGTCGTCACCCCGGTCGTAGTGATCTCGAACTTGCTCCTCGTCCTGACTAGCAGAGTGCATGACAACCTCGGGAATCAAGTTGGTGAAGACGAATTTGAAAAGCTGGATGTTGCGGGACAAGTCGGGTAAGCCTCGAGTCTATAACACCGCGCGGGTCCACTTACTTCGGGAGTAAAGTTGAAGGTAGCCCAGTCGTGTCTGTATTCCATGATCTCCAAGACATCACCGTTGAAGTCGATCTTGTTCTCAAAGTAGGCATCGTGAAAGACTTGCATGGGCATTTTGAAGGGGTACTTTTGCTTCAAATCAGCGTCCTTGATTGTTACGTAGCCATCCAGCCCTTTACCGGGCAAGATGCACTTTTCGTTGACTCGAGGGCCAATGTAGCTCATCAGCGTCCAGTATCCGACTGTGACAGGAAGGCCAAACAAGGCTACGAGGAAAAAGTACCATGTCCAGCTGTTGGAGAGTCGGAAGACCCAAGGCAAGAGAGCCTGAAGCACTCGCGGGAATAGCAAGACACAGAGAGCAAGCTGGACATTGCTAAAGGATGCCGAACCTTCTGCAGGGAGCTTTGGGTTGGCGATAGCAGGGTAGTTTGTCAAGCGGCTAGAGCGCAAGTCGGGTGAGTTGACGCAGCTCACAAGGATCGAGCGACAGACTTACACTCCACAGCCAGAGACTTGGCCGTTGACCTTGAGAGAGGTGCCAGCTATGCCCGACATGTTGAACTCTTGACGGTCCTGCTCCTGAATCTTGACAGTTGTTGCACTGCTTGTATTACCGGTAGTTAAGGAGCAGGTGAGGTGGACGTCGTGTCAGGCCGGAACACGTCGAACCAGTTGGCAGCCATCCTTGGAACCGCGACGCGTCGCAGCAAGCGGATGCAGATGCTGCGCAAGCAAAAGATAGACAAAAAATATTGGCTTGGCTCTTCCAAGCCTTTCCCGGTGGGTTTGGAGGTTTCTACAGTCACTCTTTTATCCTAAAGTAAAAAGTTGTGGGATTCGTCAGAGGAAAGTATGGCAGTAGGTGAGCCACTCTGAACGTTGCTTCTAAAGGGACAAGCCGGCGGGCTGAATGCGCGGAGGGCAGAGTTCTGTGGCACTACCGATCATGTCATAGTCTTTAGGGACTCTTCTCCAACATCCAACTCTCCCGATAGCTCAGTTGGTAGAGCGCGGCATTGTAATTGTTCTATCACGACTGCCGCGGCCACTTGTTCGAATCAGGTTCGGGAGATAACCCCTCTTTTTGCTTGGGTGAGACTTTTTGCCTGTGCTCGTCCGGCACCCTGGAACCAACAACATGGGAAAGGTGAACGTCGTTTTGCTACGCAGATTAACGTTGTTCATTCGCGGCGGTTCTTCGTTGGATCCGGGCTGAGAAGACGTACCTTTTTGTAGTTTGTCCACCTTTTTCGAAGCTCAGAAGCTGCCCAACCTGTTACGAAAAGGTATAACAAGGTAGAACACTTTTGGACGAAATGAACAAGGGATGATTTTTTCGTCGCCAGTATCCACTCCCGATAGGAACAGTAGTGCCGAACAAGGAGTGACCAAGTTACAGGAACTAGCTTTGCAGGGCAGGGATCGGGTAGTATCAGGGGGCGGAAGAGCAGAGAGATACAAGCGCAGGGCGTGCAAGTCCCTCTTGTCCCTTTTCATGCAGTTTTTCCTGCTGCATTCAGGACCTTTGAACAGATTGATGGAAGCACGACTACACTGTGTACAGCTACCTAGCTGACCATCATCTATCGCTCAAACGAAAGGCCTATTGCCGCCTTTGTTCCGCGAACAACGGTGGCGAGGACATATTGCAAAATGCAGCAAAGGGACAGAGTGGCATTGCTTGCCAGCTACTGTTCCTCGAGCCCAATATAAGCAGCAACACGCATTCCATCAGGTAGAAGTGACCCGAATGCGTGGTATGAATGGCTCATGTACAATCGCTGCACGAAGAGCCTTCTGAATTGGTTACGAGATGGTATGACACTGCTTGGAACTTCAATGCGACATGTCTATAAATCACGCATCAGTTGACCACTGTTTGGCCGTTTTGGGGTTCCCCAAGACAAAGGTCAGCTCGTCCCACTGTTGAACACCTGTTGTTGCATCCGCTAATCGAGGAGCTGATGTGATGCTAAGGCAGTAAGTGCTTGATCTGGTGAATGGATGGCGGTAGTAGCAAGACAGTCGCGGGGGCGAATGGGCGCCGGCAAACCCGTGAATGAGTGGGGAGTACATGTGTTATTTTTGTTCCCGACATACCATCGCTTCGCTGTCAATACAACGCGGACACGTTGAATTCTGGCGCAATAATAGTTAAAATGATGAGCCCACCACCTCCTATGCCATAGACGACAGACGAACACGTTTCCTCAACACTTGTCTGCTTCCAAGCCTACCTCTCAGCTGCTCCCATCAAAGCAACGCTGGGCATTTGCAACCCAATCACCCTGTTTTAGCATGAAACTGAGCTAAACCCGACGTTCTACAACCACCTATAATTTTTCTAAAGTGTCCAGCGTCTAAAACAAGCCCGACTGGAAGGGCCATGCCACAGAGCACAATGAACGGGATATTACCATCCAGAAGCACTACGAAGGCCTTGCCGCTGACCAGGCATCAGCAGCCACAGAATACGAACGGCCATTACCTCACTTCAACCGACAACGAGTCATCAAGACGTCGCAAGTCAATACCAGGGTCAAACGGAATGACGGATGGAATAGTGATGGACGGAGTACTCCCATCATTTGGACAGCCATATTCCGGACAATCAGGAGGGTTCTTCGCTAGCTCTGAAGGTCGGTCTTGGATTCGCAATATTGTGCCCCCTCCAGCAACGATCAAGTTCATCTTCCTCTGTATACTATGGTACGGTACTTCCGCACTGTCATCAAATACGGGAAAGGTTATTCTCAACAACTTTCGATATCCGGTTACCCTGACAATCGTTCAGTTCTTTTTCGTGGCTGGATACTGTTGGCTGTTGACAGACGGGTCAAGGTTGTTAGGCATTGCAGCTGCATGGCAGTGGATGGCCGCTCGGATAACGGGAATCTTGGGAGCATCTTCATCTCGACGTAGATCTTCTAAATCATCTTCGCATACCAGATCAATATCACTCGGCATCGATAATTCGGGAATCTCGGGTTCCAGGTTGAAGAGGCCGACAAGAGCTATTCTGCTGCACACATGTCCGATGGCCGCGTTCCAAGTCATTGGACACATATTTGCAAGCATGGCTATAAGCAGAATACCAGTCAGTACTGTGCATACGATTAAGGTAAGTTCATTGGTGTGCTCTTCGTCGCGACAGGTCACTGATTGCCTTTCTCACTGACAGGCACTCACTCCGCTTTTTACGGTCATGACTTATGCGTTGCTTTTCCGAGTGTCATACACCTTTGCAACGTACATTTCGCTTCTCCCTCTTACACTCGGGGTCATGCTCGCATCTTCTGCCGAATTGACGATATCAAACTCACTCGGGTTGATCTGCGCTTTTGGAAGCACGATCGTTTTCGTCTCTCAAAACATCTTTTTCAAGAAGATCATGCCTTCAAAAGGAGAAGGAGAATCATCGGCAGTAGCCCGGATGGCATTATCCCACTCCAAAGATCCATCAGGACTGTCGACCTCCGCAGCTCTCTCTCGTCCAAAGCTCGACAAAATCAACTTATTGTTCTTCTCCTCTGGAATGGCATTTCTGTTCATGATTCCGCTATGGATGTACTCGGACCTTCCGGCCATTTGGACATTATGGTTCCACCCAGAACTCGCAGTCAATACCGCCAAACCTTTGAAACCGGGTCAAGTCGCACCTTCAGTCGCCTACTACTTTTTCCTTAATGGAACTGTTCACTTTGCACAAAACCTACTTGCGTTCGCCATTCTCTCCTCCACTTCGCCTGTTACATATTCGATCGCCTCTCTGATCAAGCGCATTGCCGTCATTTGTCTCGCAATTGTCTGGTTCAATCAGACCGTTCACCATGTTCAAGCACTTGGAATCGGGCTTACCGGCATAGGTCTGTTCATGTATAACAGGGCCAAGCGGGATGTCGACAAGGGAGAAAGGCAGCTACGGAAAATGGAAGCTATCAAAGATGGCATGTTGCCCCTCAACAAGGCTGACCAACGTTTGCTCGAAGATCGAAGCGGCACCTCGACGCCCGAATTTTTCACCGAAAAGGCTGTCCATTCATCTCCTAGGCCAGAGTATATGAATGGCTCTGGCCATGGTCCACTTTCCAGCACTTCAGCTATCGAGTCTCATTTCAGTCTGCCACCGCCGTATCATCCACTTCCAACGGGAAATACAAACACACTCACACCCAGCGATACGAAACCGCGGGGTCCTGCGCCACTTTATGTAGTTCCGTATCCATCAGTATCTGAGGCATTACCATCTCCACCTCAATCACAGAACTCATCTCCACCTTTCACATCGATACCTCCGCCACACCAAGAATCAGCAGCATCGCGCCAGATGTCCAGAAGAAGACTTTCGATAGATACCGCGTCGCACCGGCCAATCGTGATGAATACACGTCCGGTAGCTTCTCTCTCATCAACTGCGGCAACGATACGGGAAAACGGAGAAGAGAATTTGACCAATGGACATTCGAACATTGTCAAGGGATTTAGGGAGATTACAGCATGAGCGGCATCGAAGAGGAAATATGTCCTTCATCCATTAGAGGGCCACGGTAGAATCAGTCTGCCTTGGGCCATGAAGGGGTCTAGTTAATTGTACACCATTGTTATGTATTCTGCTTGTTCCGACGGACTTTTTCCACCTATAGAGGATGAATCATCTACCTGAATATCATGTGAAACCATGTCGCGTGGCATAGTGGTCATGACCCGTTTTGCCAACTATCCAGATTATTATACTCGTAATTCATTGCATTATATGTTCAAAACCTCAGATCCCGGCTCAGTCATCGAAAAGAGCGTGAAACTAAAGACCCCAATAGCTTGTGATCAATGCAAAGGACCGGAACAAGAAAACTGTGTCGTCTTACAGATTTTCGATTCCCACTGTCCTGACGAAATTCGTCCTCCATGGCTGGCTGTGTCGGCCCTAAATAGCTTTCCTCCCCTCCATCCATAGTGATATCGGGATCGTCATCCATTATCTGTCTCAAAGCTTCTGGATCCAAAGCATCGACCTCTGCCTGACTTTGCCGCATCAGTGCCTGTCTCTCGGCAGCTTTCTCTTCAGTGTCATCATCCTCTTCTTGCGTAGAGAAAAACAATGGCTGTTTGTTCGCTTGCCAGTGGGGAGTGTCGTTGTCATTCAACAGACCTGGCTCAGCTAGGTTTAACGTGCTATTTGGCTGAAAGTCAGGATCAAAATCGAATTCCGGCTCGGGCTCCGGATCCATATATTGACTGGCATGCTGTGAGGTGCGAATAAGATTCGCGACCTGTTCCCCCGCGGGAGCCATCGATGTGTCCTGCAGAAGTCTTTCCTGATGTTGACCTTCAACAAGCGATAATGAAGTACGTTTCCTTTTGTTACTCGTCGCGGTTTTCTCCCCTCCTATCTGTTTGACCACGTCGGTCGTCGGCTTGAGTCTCGCTTGCTGTTTGTTTTGACTGGCACTGCTGGGTTTGATCTCCGTTTTCACCTTGCTAATCTGTTTTCCACTCAGTTGATCCGGCGGGAAGGCATCACTCTCGATCGTAGCCATAATGAATTCTCCCCGAACGCCTTCTATGTCGATGCGCACTATCAAGGGGTCTAGAGCATTACCGAACTTGACTTGTAGCGGTATGCTCCACTGTTCAGCCAAATGGAATACTGCCTGGATTGGTCCGCCGTCGATTTAGATGATAAGTCAACTCGTGACGAAAAGAAAACGAAACGCATGGCTTACCCTGAATTCTCGTAAAGGAAATGCTAGCTGTACAGGTCCCTCCTCAACATGATACTCGTCAAATTCATCGGGAGCAATCTTAATTTCTGTTGAGAGGTACTGTCGCATAGCCGGTGGTCGATTGGCTTCCAATGTTTTCACCTTGATTTCGTTTTGAGCAAAGTACCACCCGAGTTCATTCTCATACTTGATCATAGAACCTCCCGATCCGTTTGAACCGCCACCGGAGGATGCGGTGATAGTGGCAGTGCCGCTAGAGACACTAAAATGTTCAATCCAGTCTTTAAGCGTACGTGCTGGGACAGTAAAGTTGTTCGGGCTGGCGCTGGGATCAACTTCAGCTATGAGG